CAAAGTTGCTATGACTTGTGGGACAGCGGAATATTAATTAGCTCTGACGGCGTTACAAAGTGGCGCATTGCTTTGCTGCCCCAGCGTGCTGGGGCCACAGGTTCAATTCCTGGGGTGCTGTCTGGGTGGAGTTTGTGTGTTCCCCCTGTGTTTCCATGGGTTTTCTGCCACTGTCCAGAGACGCGCTGGAAGCTTAACTGGCTTCTGGGAAAACTGGCCCTGGCGTGAGTGTGTCTGTGCGTCTGGGGCTGGTGTCCCATCCAGGGTGTACCCCACCTTGAGCCTGCTGCTCCTGCACCCCTCAATTGGAAGAAGTGGTTAGAGAATGGAGGGATGGGTGTGTCACAAAGCTAGAAGTTAGAACAATCTAACCAGTTTTGTTTCTGTTATGCATATTTTAAGACAAATTTGCATGGCCAGCTGTTTGGCCTTTATTAGAGCCTATCAGCCCGTCACAACCATCCCCAGACCTGTGATTAAACTGTTCCAGCACCAGGAAACAGCAACAGCTAATTAATATATGTACAAATCTACCAAACTGAACACAGTACGGCACGTGCTACAGGCTGTGAAACCTGGCCAATTATCAGCTTATTGCAGGTGATTTGAACTTGAAGATTAATCTGCTTCTGAAGCTGCGACACCTTTTTGTTTTTCCGCGTTTAATAAAAGCGGTCAGCTTGTCGAGCCCAGGGCGTTTCCTTTGAATGCAGAAAAAAATGAAATGGAGATGCAGAAACAGAAAGCCTGAAATAATAAAAAAAGATTTTTTCTGAAAGGACATTTAACAAAATGACTGCTGGCTCACTGTCCTTCCTTAGATGGATGTTATAAATTGCTGTCCCCCCCCTCCCCCCCACACACACAAAATTTCTGTTGGAACGGACTCAGGAAACGCAAAAATGAGAGCACAGAAGGATTCGAGGGAAGTCGGGCGCGGGCGTGCTTGTGTCCTCTCCACTCGCCACATCTCTGCGCGGCGTGGGCCTGCCTGTCCCACGCGCCTCAGGGTGCTTCCTGTCCTACACCGGCCAGAGCTGCACATCTGCGCAATTCCACACTTCAGGCTGTCTCCAGGGTTCAGCTCAGACAAGTGCAGGAGAGGACAGATCCCCTGGCCCCAGGGATGTAACTGAGCCTGGGAACCCCAGAGTGCGATACCGCTGTCACGGACTCTGCCCTGGACCTCAGGCCCTGGGTGCATGCACGAACAGGTACTGTGTACGGTGTGGCTTGTGGCTTAAAAGGGCTGCAGGGTCAAGTGAAGAGTACTCAGAGGAGGCACTAGATTGAGCACTGGGAGCGCAGAAAGGGGGGGAGAAGGAGAGGAGGGAGGGGGTCAAACAGGTGGAGATAGGGAAAACGGGAGAGAGACGGGAGGCCAAGAGGGACAGAGACAGCGCGGAGCCCAGGGCGACAGAGAGTGCGCATCTTGTGCGAGTAGGCGCACGCACACGCCCTGCGCAGCAGAGCTACCGCGAGAGAGCTTCCCCGGGGAGAGATCGGTGGAAAAGATGACGCGTTCCTTAACCGACTCGAGCGGACATCTGTCCCTCTCCCGAAACGCAATCCCTGTGGCCTTGCTGTCCTCGCTCTCAGTCTTCCAGGCCTCTCTGCAGGCGTCCTCCTCTGCTCCCTCCCTCCCGGTCCCTGGGATATTGCTGCTCCCCAGAACCTGGCGCCCTCTCTCTGCCAGTCTGCTGGTGCTGCCCGTTAGCCTGCCCTCGCCTTCTCTCTCCCCCTGCAGGGACCACAGATGACACAGTCGTCATCCCTCCTCCAGAGGGCGCTCCGACCTTTTACTATTAGTTTCATGATTACGCCCACCTGTCTCCTGTTTAGCCCGTCACTATATAAGTCACGTGCCTCCTAAGCTCTGGGCTCAGCTTTGGGAAATGACCCGGAGGCCCGCCTACCAGCGGGTCCAGGAGAGACCCGACAGCATCGGCTTCACCCCGGAGTCCGGACCGTCTGGGTCCGGGGCTCGGAGCGCCTGGCCTCGTCATCGTGTTTTTAACTTCCCTGTTCCTGTTCCTGTTCCGACCCGCTTCCTGTTTTAACTGTCTGTCTTTGATTGATCTCCCGGCTCCCTGGACTTTGGACGGTGCCCCGTGTTTCCCTTTCGGACTCCCACGGGGTGTTCCCCTGCGCTCCCCCTCGCACCTGGATCACCGGCGGCACCGCCCCCTGTCTGTCCTCCCATCCATTCCTCTCCCTGTTTTCCCTGTTGTCCTTCTCCAGTCTCTTCCGGATTACACCGTCTGCATAGGGTCCTAAATCCGCACCACACAGGAGTCAGCAGGGCCACACTCTTCAACTCTCAGCACAGACCACCGACCCCCCCCACCTCACCGCCTCCGTCCCTCTCCGCTCTCTCCCACAGCTGGCGCAGGACTCCCAGTCTTCCTGCAGGGAAATCAAGAGACCAGCGGCGGCCGGCTGGCTTTCTCAGCCCAGGAAAGCACTAATTGGCCGCGGGGAGCTGGGCTTAACTGTGCCGCGCGCCTTTGAGAGTCAGCGCGTGGGCGGACTGGACCCCAATTAAAACTCTCCCTGCTTCCCCACAGTTCCCGCGGCCGACCATGCGGATGGGGCGCGGAGCCCGGCGGTCTGGAAACGACCTGGACTTGGCGTCACCCTGCTCCCTGTCGCCGTACGGGAATATCGTTCGGGAAGAGAGCAGGGGCTGCCAGCGCACAGTGCCATGCTCCGGAAGGGACTGGTTAGACTGGCAGTCACACAAAAACAAAAACCTCTTCATTCGATTCAATCCCACCGCTAAACTCCAATTCAGTCTTTCACACTCCAGCTGACTTTCCTTTCACCCTGAATTCCCTGCTGTTCTACCAGAAACGTGCTGCTGTTTTACTGTGCTTTAACCAGATAATATCACTCTCTTTAGCGTAATAATGAGTGGGCGCAGAAAGCTCAGAACTCTCCCTCATCGTTACACAACTTTGTCATAATTTACACACCACCAGGACTAATCACCGTCAGCCAACAGCGAGCAAACTACGGAGAGTTTGCAGGCGATAATAAACTGTCCCCCGATGATTTCTTTGTTAAGCAGCACGTTTCATCCCTCCATCCATGTTCCAACGGCTTTATCCAATACAAAGGTCAGAGGGGAGCCAGAGTCTATCCTGCAAAAGCCGCAAGGCAGGACACGCCCTGGACAGGACGCCAGTCCATCGCAGGGCACACACAGACACGGACGCACACGCCCCCACACAACGGGGCCAGTCTTCCCAGAAGCCAGTTAGTCTGCCAGCACGGACTGTGGAAGGAAACCAACGCGAACGCAGCTACAACATGCAAACTCCACACAGACAGCACCCAAGAACCCAGCACGGCGAGGCCGGAACGCTAAGCACTGCGCCACAATCACAGCCCGACACACTTCACTCATTCACGACGACGCTGGAAAGCGTCGAGCCCCAGCGGCAAAACTTGAACACGCCCCCCCCCGGACGTGCGCGGTGAGCCACCTGAGGAAGCGTCAGAGGAGAAGGATCCCTCCCGGGAGACGCTGGGGAGCTGACAGGTACGAGCCCGGCTCTGACCTTCTCTGCTCTCCTCTGCGGGGGCCGCTGACAGCCGCGGCAGGGCTGGCCCGGCGCCAGGGCGACCTCTCCCGCAGCGCACTGCTCACACGCTGTCTCCTCGCCCGTCACCCGCGCGACGCGGGGCCCCAAGGGTACCAGCGCTGACATTCGCTCACCTGAGCCAGCCTGGGGGCAGCGCTCACAGACGCAAGACGAATATCGAGACCTCCTAATAGAAGAATATGAACCTTATCATAAAGAACACAGCCACGTTATTCTCAATAATGTAACTTGACATTTCTAAAGCGCCTTTCCGATTCCAAGGACACGATGCTAGGAAACACAGCGCAAAAGAAATCAAATGAAACGAGAACATGCAAGCGGACTGC